CATCCTGTCCTGTCACTGCTATGGAGGCTATGTATGCATTCTTTGTATGCTTTGTGTCTGCCAAAGAGGTCGTTTGTGAACTTTTGTCCTGTCCCGACCAAGCCAAGGAGGCTGCCTCTGAACACCCAGCCTTATCTGTCAACCCCAATGTTCTGTCTGCGTTGTCTGTCTCTGCTTTTTCGTTATTACAGTTTTCGCCATGGTCTCCTGATCGGTGTGGTTCACCGGGGGGGTTCCCTGTTCCTTCTGCTCCGCCGTGGTGGTCCCCCGCTCCGCCGTGGTGGTCCTCTGCTCCGCCGTGGTGGTCTACTGTCTGGCTCTGGTGGTCCTCTGCTTCGCCGTGGTGGTCCTCAGCTCCGCCGTGGTGGTCTACTGTCTGGCTCTGGTGGTCCTCTGCTCCGCCGTGGGGATCTTCGGTCCCGTCTGCTCTGCTGTGGTGGTCCTCAGCTCCGCCGTGGTGGTCTACTGTCTGGCCGTGGTGGTCCTCTGCTCCGCCGTGGGGATCTTCGGTCCCGTCTGCTCTGCTGTGGTGGTCCTCAGCTCCGCCGGCTCTGCCTCAGTCCCTGGTCTCTCCTATCCTTGGACTTGGCCCTCCGTCCCTCCCCCGTTCCGCCTCCGCTCCACCGCCCACCTGGATCGTATAGTGTTTGGAGCGTCTGGAAGCCGCTCCTTGGGGGGCTCTGTCACAAATCCTGTCCATGGACTTCTGTTCATTCACCATCAGAGGTCACCCTTTCCATTACATTGACTCTCGCACTACACCTACTGTTGCTTATCATCCCGGACTACATATCCCATCATTCATTGCACTGATTGCACTCAGCACGGATTGCACACAGCTGTTTCACATCACTCACTCACTATATAACACTCACTCAACCTACCATTCACGGCCGAGGATTGCTTAGCCTGTCAGTTTTCCTGGTTCCTGTTATCCTGCCCGTAGTTCCTTGTTTTGCCTTGCCTTGCCGGTTTTCTCGGTTCTGATCTTTGCCTGTCTCCCTGGATTTATTCCTCTAGTCTCGCCCCTGTGATTCTGTCTGCCGATCGTCGACCTACGCTAGCCCTAGGACTATTCTTGTGTTTTGCCCGCCATATACCTGTTTGCATTGCCATCTGCCTGTTCTGACCACGTCTCTGTCTTCTGCTCAGAATAATGCTTGCACATGGATCCACACGTCTCACATCTCTGTCGTCCCGTTACACTTACTCATTTTTGTGTCAGTTCCTATCTGATTCAAGTTCAAAGAATTCTTAGCAAGCTTATCTGCATTTTCTCATTTCCTTCAACTCCAACATGTGCTGGAACCCAAATAAATGAAATAAAAATGCCCTGATTTTTCATTCTATATATATATATATATATATGTACTGCAGTATTTCCAGTATGACATCTTGTCTGCAGTTAGACCCGATTGAATGCTCCTTAACGCATCCAATGAATCTGAACATATTACTGCTTTTTTAATTCTATTTTCCTCTACCCACTGGAGACCCATAACAATAGCTACCAACTCTGCTGTAAATACAGATAAAACATCCGGGGTTCTTTTCTCAATAACTATTTCATAATGTGGAATAACTACTGCTATTCCTGTTTTCAGAGTTGCTGGATCTTTTGAACCATCTGTAAATATCTGCATCATATCATAATATTTCTGATCCATATTTTATTGGGTCACACTCCTGTTTCTTCACTTCATCTGTTAAATAAAGATCTACTATAGACATCACAAACATCCACGGTGGAACTGCTGACATGTGTACTGTATTACTGAATTTTATAGTTTTTACATCTATCGATTCCCCCATTTCTGTGCCCACTCTTCAACTTTATTTATTGCAGCCTGAACTTTCTTAACTGTATATGATACATTTGGCCTCTTTTCCAAAGTGCCCCATCATCTGCCTATAACCATCTACCCACATCGTGCTGTAAATCACTGAATATATCATTTATCATTATATTGAATAGAAGAGGGCAACACACACTCCCTTGAGGAGATCCACTTTAAACCTCATAAACAGTAGAACAAGATGTTCCCACTCTAACCTGAATTTTCCTCTCAAATAAAAAATCCAACACCCGGTTATAACTTCTTCCTCTAATTCCCATATTCTTGAGTTTTATAAGTAGCCCTTCTTTCCATAACATGTCATAAGCTTTTTCCACATCAATAAAAACTGCAGTTACGACTTCTTTATTTATCGGTGCCTTTCTTATTTCTGATTCTACACATAATATTGAATCCTCTGTCGTTCTATAATTTAGCACATGTTTGATGCTAGTGCTATTGGTCTGTAATTTGTTGCTTCTGACCTATCTTTGCCAGGCTTTCCTACAGGGACAACTATTGAATGTTTCCATGCTGAAGGACGTTTGCCCTCTGCACATATGTTGTTGTATAACTTCAGTAATTTAAAAAGTGCTACATCTAATAATTTTCCTATCATACTGTAACAAATCTTGTCCTGCCCAGGAGAAGTTTCTTTTACTTTAGCAATTGCTCTTTTTAATTCATAGAGTGAACAATCTACATCTGGCAGGTTTCCACTTGCTTCCCACATATTTTTCTTCTTCTTCTTCTTCTTCATCTTCATCTTCTGTGGATTTATTGGCGGGTCGCACACCAGCTTTTAGGTGCATACCACCACCTCCTGTGCTGGAGTGTGAAGTGATTTCAGTCTATCATGATAACTATATTCTATTCTTAAGTCCACTATTCTTGATTAATTTTTTAATTGTCTTTATTATTTTACCACATCCTTGTATTGTGTTTAATATGTTGCAGATTGAAAATTCATTGCATCCTGAGTTCTGTAATTCTCTTTGTAGTTCATTCCTTTCCTGTTCATACCTGTGGAAATGATCTGGCTGCGTCTTTAATGTGTGCATTATTAGTAAATCACCCGCAGACAGTACATTAAAATCTGTTACACATTACTTGCGGACAGCGTTTAAGCTAAATCAGTGTTTGTCCACTAGAGGACAGGTGCAAGATGCTGGAGGAGGAGTATCTCAGTATAACTCATCAGTTCTGGTCTGAAAGTCTTGTAAATAACTCAGGATTGTTGTTAGTGACTCTGATTCTGATTGACATTTTTGTCTACTTGCTTACTGGATGTATTGTATACTGTTTACATTGTATAGCACCATGGGCGTCGATAGGCCATTTTTAGGGGGGTATAGCTATTTAGCATACCAACCCTATTAGTCAAACTGTTTTGTATGTGTGTGTGTGTGTGTGTGTGTGTGTGTATATATATATATACAGTGGGGAAAAAAAGTATTTAGTCAGCCACCAATTGTGCAAGTTCTCCCACTTAAAAAGATGAGAGAGGCCTGTAATTTTCATCCCAAATGACTTACAGATAAGAATAAAACAATCAAAAGCAATTATTCCAAGGCTAAATACAATAAAAGTAGAGGAATACAAAAACCAAGATCATTTAAAGAGAACAGTCAGGAAACAGATCCCAAGCAAGTTCATTCAGACAATACTAAATATTGCGTTTTCTTATAAAAAAAACATTCAGTAACAAATAAACACAGTATTTCTGTATACTACGGTATAAAGTTACTGATGCAGTAAAGTACATTCATGTCTAACAAAATATATACAAGTTGAACCAAGTAATGTTATAAATCAGTTTTATAACAGTAATAAAATAATAATAGTATTAAAAATGCCGCTGCAAGATTAATTTTTAACGAGCCGAAAAGAACACATCACACCTCTGTTCATCAATTTGCACTGGCTACTAGTAGCTGCTCGCATTAAATTAAAGGCATTAATGTTTTCCTACAAAACCAGCACTGGCTCTGCACCCCTTTACCTAAATTCATTACTTCAGACTTATGTGCCTCTAGAAGCTTGCATTTTGCAAGTGAATGTCACTTTCTTGTTCATCCCAAAGAGGCACTTTCACAGACTTTTTCATTAACTGTTCCCTCCTGGTGGAATGACCTGCCCAACTTAGTCCGAGCAGCTGAATCCTTAACAATCTTTAAGAAATGATTAAAACACATCTCTTCCATCTTTATTTGACCCTTTAACTCTAACACTTTCTATTCTATATTAATTCTACTTTATCTATATTTATCTTTTTTTATAAAAAAAAAAAAAAACACCAGCTTTCTATTTTTTTCTATTCTATCTACTTGTTTTTCTTTCTATGTGTGTGTGTGTATAATATATATATACACCTTGCTCCGTGTACTGCGTTAGGCTAACCGAGACTTGTCATTTGCACTTACATATTGTTGCTCTTTTGTTAGTTTTGACTGCTTTTATTGTCCTCATTTGTAAGTCGCTTTGGATAAAAGCGTCTGCTAAATGTAATGTAAATGTAAATCACTTTTTATTCCACAAGCACCAAAGTAAAAGAGTTAATAATACGTTTACTCTCATTGGGTATGTAATTTCATACAACAATGTGCAATACTGTCTGAATTCACAGTTTCTATTACTGTAATGTTTTTGATATTTATATTAAAGGGACCACCTTCAGCTCAGACCCCCATCTGGATTTATTCATTCCCTGAAAGCAAACAAAGCAAACTGCTTAAAAAGTTGATATTTATGTTCAAAGATAATCACATTTAAATCAAATTAAAATTAATTAAATGAAATCAAAATTGAACGTTTTGAAAGGTAATTATTTTAATGAAAGCTGTATGTGATTTCCAAATAAATGAGATCATGGATAGTAGCTTTGAATCTCTTGTATTTGGTCTCTCAGCCGCTGATGATCAGAAGTTTGTAAACTCCGGTGTGTTCAGTTGTGCTGTTTGTGATGGTCAGAGATCCAGTCTGATGATCCAGCTTCAGTCTGTTTCTGAGTTTCCCTTCAGAGCCATCATATGTACAGGAACGTGCTTCATTTTCTCCTCTAGCGATGAGACTGTCCACAGCACCAGATCATCTTTTTATTTCAGTATTGTTGTGTGGCGTGACTGAACCGCCCTCCGTTTCAGATTCAGTCTTCTCTTTAATTTGATCCCAGCACCACACAGAAGAGTACAACATGAATGTTACCACAAAATTAACTCTAAGATGATGGATTTTTGTTTTGCACATGAGAAAGAACTGTACACGTTTGGAGCAAAACCTGCCTTTCGTCTTTTTCTGTGCAGAATATCCCTGTGTACATTTATATCACCTCTTTGCAGCATTATACTTTTTAACAACTACGTAAATCCACTTTTATGGTATAATTTTGCTTTGCTGGTCATACCGTAGTAAATGTTTAATTTCTTGTCATGCTTTATAAATTAGATTAATAGCATAAATGTATTCAAATAAAATGAAAGTTTTTCCACTTTATTTCCATTTTGAAAAACTGCACTTTACTGTAAAATGCCCCTAATTTCTGATGCAGCAATGTAAATTTGAGAACATAATACTTTTTCTGTCTTCTGGAGTTTTTTGCATCTTTATCTTGTAATGATAGCACTAAAATCATCCAAACTGTGATAAATAGAATTGAGTTACTCACCGTGGGCGATAAGCATGAATCTCTAGCATGTGCTCTTTTTGCCGCTGGTGATTTGAAGTGTATAGACGTCTGAATGAGCTCTGCTGATGTTCCTGATGGTCAGATCTCCTTCATATAATGTGGTCTGACGGCTGGCTCGGCTGACTTCAGCTATGAAAGAGTCTTTAGCGCTAAACTTCCACAGTATCCTGCCATCACTCCTCAGCTCAGGAACATCAGTTTGTAGAGTGACAGAATCTCCTGCTGTATATCTCAATGTGTTCACTGCCACAGCGACAGAAACATGGAGAAGAAACGTGTGAATGTGAACATCGATACAGTTATCAATATACTTTGATAGCTACTCACGCCACACAAGAACGTTGAATTTCTTGTAGGAGACTTTAATGCTGCTCTTGATCTGCAGTTTGTAAACTCCAGAGTCAGTGCTTTTGGAGTTGGTGATGGTGAGATCTTCAGTTTTGTCTCTTTACTGCCGGTGATCTTCATCTGATAATCTCCAGAGATTGGGATCCTGATGTCGCTGATGGTCAGATCTCCAGTCTGATGGTCCAGCTGCAGTTTGTCTCTGAATCGCTCATCATCAGTGTACAAGATCTTACTGCATTCTGGTGGATTTGAGCAATAACCGTTTCCCGTTATAATCAGTGAAGCTACCTACACAGTAAAATCAGCAGTGTAATATTTGCAGTGTTAAAAGTTATTAATTCCCAAAGAGCTGAATTAACAATCTACAGTGTTAAACAGTACTCATGCTCAGTGTTGTTATATGGTGTAATTTCACTTTTACTCTAAAAGTGCGGAATAAAACCCCGCCGAATTGTCTGGACTCTGCCCTTCAATGACTGCTGCCTCGGGAAACGACGACGCCATTTTTTCAACAATGTCATTTTTTCAACAACATTTATGTTCATAATTTTACTCAAAATATGATTGGTGGTGAACACATTCAGAAATTACTAACTGCGCATGTTTTTGTCAGGTTTAGTGTTAAGTTCGTGTTCCTGAGGTGCAGAGATGTAACGTTAAGTTACAGAAGAGTGTGAAAGTTTCTCATGCCGGTTCGATTTCCTGAAAAAAGGTGATTAATGTTACGTGCAAAATGACTTTTTGGAATGTGCTTACAATTTATGTTATATATGCTTTTAGCTTCTTTCATTTTAGTTTGCTGACAGATCGTCTAGCCTCCATTCCCGCCCAGAGGCCTGGTGTTACTGCGAGTCTGGCACTGAAGTCTGAAGCAACCACATTTGGGCGGTTTTCTACTTAAATGAGAGAATTCATCAAATGGTAAATTTAAATTTGTTTTTGAAAGCATTGAGTGTGGCATTTCGCAGTTTCCATGCTTTGAAATGGTAATAGTGGGACTATTAAACATTACGCGCTAACAATGTCGTTTTTGTGACGCATGACAGTGTGTTGAAGTGTCTGTCTTGCCCGCTGCAAACGAGCAGTCCCTCTGCAGACAGAGCTGGCATAAACAGGAACATTTACCAGTCATTTGATTGACATTATCTAATGCAAAACTCTGAAATTAGAGCGCGTTAAAAAACTTCCATTCGCCCTAGGCTTAAGTGTGAACTGCGTAATCTGTACATTGCTTGTTCTCAGCGCTGAATATCATGTCGTCATATCTGCGTCAACACACAAACTCGCTACCATCAAGTTTTTCTTATGGCAATTACGTTTATGCAAGCATCGTGAAAGTGAGTTAAAGTTACGTTAAACTGTAAATCCGTCAGTCTTTAAAGGGGTCATATGATGCGATTTCAATTGTTCCTTTCTCTTTGGAGTGTTACAAGCTCTTGGTGCATAAAAAAGATCTGTAAAGTTGCAAAGACTAAAGTCTCAAACCCAAAGAGATATTCACACAAGAGTCAGCCACACGTACACAGTAAATTCCCGAGTGTTAAATGAACACTGCTCGGAGCATATATGGTCCCACTCTAAAAGAGTGTTAAAGTAACACTGAAGCAGTGTTAAAGTTAATGAGATAATTATGTGATTAATTAAGTGCTGATTGAGCATTAGTGATGAACACCTGCTGTTAACAAGCAGAATCACTGAAGAAAAGAGAAACACAAGAACTACAACTGACTTCAGCCACAGCCTTAGATGAAATCAACTGAAATAAAAGACATTAAATCTCTCAAGATCTCAGCAGAAGATGATCTCCACAAACAGCATCACCACTGTAAGGTCCGCGCACCTGGCCCAAGGAAGGTATCCAGTGGCGGATGAAGGTCTCTTGCGTGTTCGGTCTTTTCAGCGCGCAGAGTTATTCAATTTAGGTTTAACTCAATCTGACTCCATTTTAGTATCTGAATTCTAATTTAGGTTGAAAGGCAAATTGTTTTTTTGTCGGTCTCTGATTATTCTTACATTCGATTATTCTAATTAACTCTTTACTTTGTATTTTTTCTCGTTCACTAGGAATCTATGTCGTTTTAGGATGCCTCACGCCGGCCGCTATGCGTGGGCTCCACGATCACAAAACTCGCCA